TGTCTATGATGACTGGCTTATACAGACTGCAGTCGGCCCCAGTGAAAGGGCGCTAGATGGTGACTGGCAGTAGCCCATAGGCTAGAGGGTTGGGGGTTTCCCAGAGGGGGGAGACCCATAGAGACTGGTGGGGGTATTGCCAGGGGGAAGCCCCCGGGTAAAGGAGCACTGGGTCTGGGAGGGACACGGGGGGCCAGCGGCAGCGGGACACTGGCCTGCAGAGGACGCTCTGAGGGCTGGAGAGCTAATTCCCTGGGATGACCAACAGGAGGCGCCGCAGGGGTGAGTCCCACCTCGTTACAGGGTGAAAGAAAAGAAGAAGGTCACAGCACAGCCAAAAGAAAGATATTGGCCAAACTCAGTCCTGGTGTACATGGGTGCTTCTCCTGTGACTTGCAATGGAATAGCAAGCCAGTCAGTTCAATTGTGCCTGGCTTTACAAGGGCTGATTTTGGTATAATATATGCAAAACAAAACTATTTATACTGAAAAAGTGACAGGACAGTAACACTTCATGCTGTGATTTGGAGTACCCAGGTGTGGAACCAGTTTGAGATATCTTGTTCAGACCATAAAGGTGATAAACTCAGTAGACGGGGAACTCACTAGATATGCAGTCACCTCCTGCTGGCCAATTTCTGGAGCAGTAACAGAGCTGCTTGGAGATGGGCACTCATTAGTTCTTTATGCACTCTTATTATCTTAAGAGAGGAAAGTATACAGTTTAAAAGGAGTAGAATGCTAGAACCTCTGAAGGAAGGGGATTCTCCTTCTCCATATGGATTCATTATGGAGAGAACCTATCCTTGGACAAATGAGTGCACAACAGAGTTAACAAGTTCTTGCCTAGCTCTGGCTTCTTTGAAGCTCCACTTGTCTTTTCACAGTCAATTCAGGCTAGTTAAACAGCCTGTAGCAAAATCAAACCAAGAGTAGGCCTGGAGTTTGCATCCTTTCCAATACTGGATCAGCTGTTGTGACTCAGAAATAATGCTTGCATAAGGCAAAGTACTTATGTCAGGATAAGAACGGGAGTTATTCAGCCTGTTCAAGAGCCAGAAACAGAAAAGTTTGGTTTTGCCTGTGCTCCTGTAGTTTGTAACCCAGTGAAATGCACCAAAAGGACTCATTAGAAAGCAGCCTTGGAAAAAGTGCAGAAGAGCAGAAGCAGAGGAAAAGGCTGGGAGAGAAGAAAAGGGGAGGCACCTGGAGGACAAAAAGATCACAAAAGAAATAGAGGAAAGATAGTGACAAATAACATGCCTCATGCCTTTTCTAGGGAGAATATCTGAAAGGGTAAGAGGATAATTCAGCCTCCATGAACCATTTCTTGTTTGACGAGCTGCCAACATGGATGTCAAGTAGGGGTGGTGGACCAGCACTGATGTTGGATTTTGTGATGTGGGCACCTGATTCCTGTGAACTGGATTGAGATTACCAAGCCATTTTACATAGGCCACTGAATAGTCAGATGAGGACAACTTTCAGTCAGGACCATTTTAGGCTGGATTTTAACTGGACACCTAAAAATGGAAGCCTATGTATCTCACTGCAGAGATACCCTGAGTCATCCAGTCCCCAAGTACAGCACGTTACTTTCATGTATTACTACCTCAGGGTAAGGTTACATGAGAACGTATTTCCTGAAAAGGAATACATTTAAAAAGATACTTATCTTCCACTTAGTTGACTTAATAAATAAAGGGGTGTCACTAAAATATGCAATTTGTGTATGTGAGGCAGTTACAAGGGGATGCATATGTCAACCTCAAGCATGATTTATTTTTGCATGACTTTTCTGACAGTTGCAATTTAACAGCTGTATTTTCCTCCAGTCTCAAAAACTTTCATGATTCTAGTTTTGTGGTAGAGGAGTAAATGTCTGTTTTCAAGTACAATTTTATCTGAGTCATTTAGGGAGAGGTGTGGAGCAATTGAAACATGACTATCAACATAAGTAAAACAAGATGCTCTGGTCTGTGTGGCACTGTTATTGTCAACTGAATTGCATGTAATATTATGAAATAAAATATCTAATTTATTAAAATCTAAATACAAAGGAACATCACAATACACAATAAGATCTGGGGTGGGAGTAAAGAGAACAGTGCAAGCAAGAGGGAAAAGAAGGTTTCTGCATGGTTAGCCACATCGACAACCCAAGTAAGGGTTAATATTCCAAACACTACAGAATAGTATTTCTTTCAGAAGTTTAAAAGAGTGAATAAACCCCATGTAACTCTCTCTCTGTCTCACACACACACACACACACACATATATTATTCTCTATCCATGGAGTATCCGCCAACTATCTCTCAACACCAGTGACTGTCACGGCCTTTTTTGTTCTAATAATAAATAATTAATTTAAAATATTTAGCATTTTTCAAAATGAAAGTGCTTCACATCTTCAGATATTTACAAATATTAATCAATCCTCAGGATGCTC